GATTTTTGTAATATGCTTTCTATATCCTTTTAAATTCTGTAAAATCTGTGGTAATGTCTCCTAGATCTTGATATTGCAATTTTAAAAATGTATAATTGATATTGTATGATAAGAAAAGGTCTAAAGGTAGGGGAAGTGGGAGGGGTAGGGAAAAGAAAAAATGAGAGAAGGAAAAAAATGGAAACAAAGTCTTTGCAAATAGGGAAGGGGGTGGAGGGGGGTGAAGGGAGGGCAGGGGAATGGGGAAAAATAATAACCAAGATACTCATGTAATGGTACAAGATCCCAATGATGAATGTAACTGTATTTTATGCTTAAAATGTACCAATAAACTTAATGAGGGGGAAAAAAAACAAAAAGAAAAATTATTTCACGGATTTTTAGCCATAGCTAAAGATAATATGTATTTTGTTGTATGATGGCGCCTATGTGGTCCTCCAATATGACTGAAAATTTTCTTAATAGGTAATAAAGGTCAGATTTAAAAAAAGACACACCAGTAGTTTAAAAGTTAAAGGATGGATAAAAGATATAGTGTGCTATCCTAACTGAAAGAAACCTGGAGTAGATGAGTATCAGTAATGTGCAGAGCAAAACATGTTGCCAGTGGCAGAGGAGGCTCATACTGAAGTTTACCAAAGGACATAGCAACAATAAAAGTTTATACATCTAATAAGTCTCAAAATGCATGAAATTGAAAGCTGGCAGAACTGCAAAGATAAATCCATACCTATAGTCTGGGTTTAATGTTTCTCTCTCAATAACCAATAGAAATAGAGAGAAAATGAGTCAAGAAAAGACTTGAGAAATACCAATAATCAACTTGACCTGATGGACGGACATTCCATTCAACAAGAGCAGGATTCATACTTTGTTATGATCTGCCATTATCCAGATCATAAAACAAGTCTCATTAAATTGAAAATGATTCAAATTATATAAAATATCTCTAACCACAACAAATTAAATTAGATCTCTGGAAAATCTCCCATTATTTTAAAATTGAATGATAAACATCTTAAATAATCCATGAGTCAGAAGAACTCAGAAGGGAAATTGGAAAGTATTTTGAACTGAACCAAAAATGAAAACACAATCAAAAATATAGGGAATACTACAAAATGTACTGTATTTAGGGAAATTTTATTGCTTTGAATCCCAGAGTTTAGAATAAAGGGATCATACCAATATTGATCCAACTTCAATAAAAGAAAAAGGAACTGTGAGACAACTTTAAGTGACCCTAATAAGTATGTTACTTTGATTCAAAGCAGAGATTATCAGACTGATTTAAAAAGCAAGACTTTAAATGCATGAGTTTAAAAAGCAAATTAAACCCAATGTAAACAGAAGAATTGAAATAATAAAAGATTAAGGCAAAATCAATGAAAAAAACAGACAGTGGAGAAAGATCAATAAAATTGGTAAACCTCTAGCCATACTGGGAAAAATAAAGCAAAAATTACCTCTCAAAAATGAGTTTGGCTACATCATTGCACATTATGCAGATATTAAGGAAATATTATGAACATCTTTATGATGAATTGACAGTGTCTCAAGAAATAGTTCTATGGGGGAACTTGATTCTAGTTAAAAACCTGCCTGCATAGAAAACTCCAGACCCAAGATGACTTCACTAGTGAGTTCTACTAAATATTTAAGGAAGGAGGGCCAGGGATTTAGCTCAGTGGCACCACACCTGCCTCACAAGTGCCAGGTCCTGAGTTTTGATTCCCGGTACCAAAAAACAAAACAAAATAAAATTTAAGAGGTAATATCAATACTATATAAAGTTTTCCAGAAAATTGAAGAACTAAACAGATTATAAAGAACTACATACCTAATCTACCAATATGCCTAATATACAAATATTCTAAACAATATTCAATATTTAAATTGAATTCAATATTTAAAATGTTTAATACATCATGACCAAGAGGGATTATTCGTCCCATAAATGTAAAGTTGGTTAAACACTGGAAAATCAATCAAGACAATTTTTCCTATTAACAAACTTTTTAAAACTTTGCTTACAAAATTTTAATAGATACAAAATTAATATTCATTCCTAATAAGCTTTCAGCAGTCAGGATAGAAAGGAGCTTTCTCAGCTAAATCAAGCTCACCTAGAAAGCCCTACTACTATCATACTTAGTGGTGGAAAATTGAATCTTTTCCCCAAAGGTCTGGAACAAGGCAAGGATGCCTGATCTCATTTCTTCTACTAAGCATTGTACTGGAGGTTCTAGTCAGTGCGAATAAGAGTAAGAAATCCAAATTGGAAAAAGAAGTAAAGTTGTCTTTATTTGTAGATATTTGTAGGAAATCTGGAATCTATGAAAGAGCTCTTAGTATTGACACGTGAATCTAGTAAGATTGTATATAAGATTAATATTAAAAATCAGTAATACTATTTACTAGCAATGAACAAGCAAAAAATTTGCATTTTACAAAACTATCATAATAG